CCACTGATCATTTTTATGAATTTCAATTTCAAAGGTCAACCATAGTGATTAACTACAGTATGATTGAAATTACATATTTGTTTTTGAGGACCAAGACTAGGATCAAAAGTGGCATGGCTAATACTAATACCTAAATACATGATGTTGTCACAATTCTAAAATTATTAAATGAAAATTGATTTGGAAGCTAAATAATATACCGTATATTACTATAGTACACTATGATAACATATAAACATTATGCACATCTTAAACAGACTGATACTCAGAGGAACTGTTGCTTTTGTCGTCGCTGGCCTAACTTGGCCGTCAGAAGTGGGAAGAGTGGATTTGTTTTTCTCCACACTGTGTGTAGTTTGCGGTTGTAATTGTAAACGACGCAGGTCCATATAGTGTGAACTGGCCAGTCTATTGTGCATTCCTTCTTGTGTTTTGAAACACATGCTTGCAAAAGTATATATTGATGATATCTCTCAACTTTCATCGACATCTGTGTCACTTTAGTTTCCAGTTGAATGAGCAGTAGAGGAGCTGAAGCGTCACAAGTCAATTATATGGGTTCAGAAGCATGTGTCAAATAGTAATTTATGGAAACGATATGAAAAGTAAAATGGTGCTTGAAACTTTAAAAACACAGTAATGCAGTTGAAAGAAAACATCATACAATATTATATTTAGTTGGAATGACGGCAGAATTGGGTAGAGAAGCCAAAACATTGAAGGACTTCTCAAAATACAGCTCTCCTACAGCTCTCCCACTGAAGCTATAAATCTCAGTGGCCCAAGTAGTGTAAATATACATATTTATATTAAGTGTCAATATAACTTGAACTTTTGCATATTTTATCATGTTTATGACCGCAAACACAACTATTTTAATTTAGTTTGTTTAACAAAGCTGAACTGTGAAGTGAGTTTTTTTGAAAATGTATTTATTTTTTTGCAAGTGGGGCTTGCATGAGTGAATATGTTGTAAAACATGACATTGTGTCAGCTCTCCCTAAGCCTGATTTCACTCACTTGTTATGGGTGTTCTACACCATAAAACAACATTTATGTAAACACAAACCAGTGGCCGACCCTACACCAGAAAAGTTGTGCAGTATACAGTACCTTTTTTAATTCAAAATAATTGTTTTTTACTGGTACTGGCAAACAGTACTACTGTTTGCCAGGGGCGACAGTAGCTCAGTTGGTAGAGCATTGGCCTTTGGGCCTGAAGGTCGTGGGTTCAAGCCCACCATAAGACCTACTTCATGACTCCCACTGATGACTGCTGTCGTTGTGTCCTTGGGCAAGACACTTAACCCTACTTTGCCCAAAGCCCCAACTGAAAGATCTCAGCTCCTGTGGACTCACCACCTGCAGGAGGATCAGTGAGGGGCTGGTGCTATGTGTACTGGGTGTAGCTCTGACTGCCACCCCCCCGACCCAGAAATGGATTAAGGGGAAGAAAATGGATGGATGGATGGATGTTTTTTTGCCTTTACTAACTACAGTGGTTTAGATGCAGTATGCTTTCTGTATGGCACAGAATGTTATTATTTTGTATGGCTCAAAAAGAAGTATTCAAATCAAATATACACTGTACTTGAGTGGATTTTTATTTAGAATTGATATGTCTTTTTTACAAACCTGCTGGTCAGATGCAACCTCCTGAACACATTTTGCTGCTTATGTCGTGATGGTACGTGAGCTGGTCTGGGCTGCAGTGAGTTGTGGTCTTTTTCCTGAAATACCTGTGGCCTGAACTTCCAAAGCTTTCCACAGACACACATAAGTTAATCTCTCCCAATCTGCACTGCCTTCGCTCTTCCACCAGCCTCTTGCTTCCACCATTTTCCCAGTCGCTCATTTCAGGATGTGGGATCTGCCGCGTTCAAACAGCGTGTGATTATGTTATCCTCAATCACTGCTCATGCCGAGATTAGCAACTGGCAAAACAAATGTTGACAACAAAGATTAATGGCAATCTGGTGACTGCAACCTTGCTGATAGAGTTTCAGAAAAACTCAAACTTTATTCTCTTGTAATTATTGGTATAATTGTCAGGATGGTTAATAAGTAAAGCACATAGAAATTCTCCCCAGTTCAGTGAAGGCTGGATGAATAACTTTTCCAGGCTTATAGCTCTTTTTTATTTGCCAACTTTTCTCTTTCAGTCAGCTTTGTGTTCCATTCAGGCCATAGTGGAGGAAGTGAATGGAACCACGTTAATGTGAATGTCAGTTTGCCGTAAACACAAGAAGATTGTATATACTACAGATATATAGGGTTAAGTGGTTACGTTTGCTCTTATGTCAGGGTGTAGTTTTACTCAATGGGAGAACTGACACAATGAAACATGATATTAGAATGTTTAGGAAGGCTATGATTAAGCTTGTTTTGGAGGGTATTTCGGTTCAAACAAATATCGTATGGATGATCCCGAATTTACCTTGACTTGACAAGCTTGCCTCAAGACCCAAAGAACCCGCGAGTGTTACAGTTGAGATTTCAGAGTGTGCTATTTCTTTTCAACGCTCATAGCTCCTCTCCACCCCCCATTGGTGGAAAGAAGCCTGAATTTGGACAATAGAAGTATTACTTTAGTTGTTTTGAGATGTTTCTAAAAAATATTGGTACAGGAATGAAACAGCACTGAAACGCACAACAGGATTAAGGTTAAAGTATATTTTATTTTCCCCGTACCGAAATGTGTCCTCTGCATTGGAGGTTATTCATTTTCACTATTTGTATTCTGCGCCTCGGTGCATGTGTCCTCTGTTTGAGGGACACGCTTCTTTGGATGTTACTGTGTTGGTACTCTATCACAGGACTACACAGTACTACTGTGATATGGGCTACAAATAATCAAAGGATATAAATTCAGACATGTTTTTCTCTTGTGTGCTGTGATGACCTGATCTCAGGCTGCAGTATGTTAGCCCGATTTCAGCCCTCCATGAGTTTGAGAAGGTGTGGCCCAACCAATAATTTTAATTTGTCGTAACAGTAACATCCTGTATGTATGTGGGGTCTGTGTCTCCGCCACGCTAACATAAAGACCATCGTGAAACTGTAGCGCGATGACAAAAACACATTATAGCAACAATGTTGATATATTAGCAAGAAGAACAGTAATAAAAGAATACAATCATAATCACTTTAGACACAACCAAAGGACCTGCTCCACCACTTGATGTACCAGGAATGTTTTTTCAAGTTATGTGCTCTGTGTTTTAATGCATCAAACTGCTACAGGAAAAATATATTTATCCGGGTGTATATGCAATGTACAACACACAGACACACATGCGCACACACACACACACACACACACACACTGACCTGATGCAGCCCCTCACCATGTCCTCAAACATTAAGAAAATAACGTTAAATTGAGAGAAATCGCAGTGTCCTGAAGTCCAGAGCGCCATACCTGAAAGCTCACTTCCAGTACTTTTGTTTCTGAATAAACAGTCTGTGGGTCCTGCAACTGTGAGACAGACAATTAAAAATCTCACAACAGACAAAAACTCCTGTAATCTGTAGCCAGCCTTACGGACACAAGAAGCCAAATGTCATCAGAATTCAAGTTTACTCTATCAATTACCTTGCCGTATATATTGTGCAAATCGTGGTTAATTTAGTCGTCTATCTTAGTCTAACAACAGACATGCAAAAGTGATGTGTCCAATACCATAAACTGACAGATCTGTATAATTCCAAACTGATGCCTGCGTCAGACCCACATAGAGCTCACTTTTGTGTTGGTCAATCTGTTCAAAGAAACCTAATATGCGAATCCATGGCCAGTAATGCAGGCTCTGTCCTCTCGGGTTTGTCCATTTGGATACAGCGCTTACACGGAGTCTAAGTGTGGTCGCTTACTGTTCCCTGGGTATGATATTCAAGCCTTTGCTTAAATAAAGTCAAGTGTCTTTTCTTCAGAGATCGGATTTGCCCAAGGACGTTTTCCTACAGATGGGACCTGATACAAACCTTCATTTGTAGAAAAAAGTATTTTACTGATGTCTTTGTTCTCACCAACACAAGGCTGGGCCAGTGCCACTGTGGTTTGGGTGATTTTGTCTGGCGTATATCATTCCAGAGGACATATTCACATTCAAAACCATTCAATAGTGGATTGTTGAGAGCATAACCAGTGTTTGTGTCAGTGACAAATGTTTGAATTGAGCATTTTTATTCCCTCTGATTGTAATTGTTTTCATGGTGCTGTGTAGAACCTCCAATGGTTATGGTGGTCACATCCAGTTACTGCCATCTTTGTGAATCCAGAACACTAAATTACAATATCAACATGTTTTTGAAATTAACAATAATAACACTCTTGAACTCTTTTAATGACTATTTTGATTGTTTGTATTGTTATCTATATATTGCGTGAACTGAATTATCTACAGGATTAATATCGTATTTCTATTTAATTCAATTCAATTCAATGTATTTTGTATAGCCCAAAATACCAACAGAAATTGTCTCAGAGATTATATTCTGTTCTATTGTTTCTTGACTAATATAATGGCCTTGACAATGGCACTTTATAGAAACTTAAGAGGTAGGATTGTATGCCCCAGTATACATCACTTTACTAATCATTCATATTTTATTATTTTCCACTTCTCTTATGGCTCATGTCGTAATATAAGTAGATGAAGGCTACATAGCGTTCACACTTATTCTTGATGACCGGTGCTATGACATAGTCGGCCTCGTTTTTGTTCGATGTTATGGTCAAAAGTGACCTGTATTGAGACGTCTAACTTTAAATGACTTGTTTTGAGCGAGCCTGGTTTAATAGTGTGTTCACACATATCAACAAAGTGTACTTCTCTCTGAAAGAGCGCCTTGCTTATGATCAAGTATAAACACGCTGAAAGTGAACCCCCGAGGAGATTTTACGATCAAACTACAATGACATCATTTAAGAAGTACATTTGTTTTGCCAACATTGTGCTCACTCTTCCTGTGTCCTCTTTCTTTCTTCTTTTCACCAGCGAGCTATGGAGCGTATCCAATCTGTAAAGGCTGCTCGGTGTGCTCCAGAGACAACGGTTGTGTAAACTGCCAGCCCAAACTCTTCCTGTTCCTGCGTCGTGAGAGGATGAGACAGTATGGGGAGTGTCTGCAGCACTGTCCAGCCGGATACTACGGCATGAGGACCCCAGATGTTAACATGTGCTCAAGTAAGTGACACAAGACCCCTCTCTCTGACCAAGAGCACGGTCAACCTACACTGTAACGATTCACATGTAGTGAAATATTTCAGCCCTGCTCGTTCACTTAGGTCAACATATAAATATTAAAGCCTATTCAAACTAAAATGTTAACGGATATTCAACAAGCTAGGCAGGTTTATTTTTTTGTGATTGCACACAAGCATTGCATACATACATACATGTGTGACTAGCAGTGGTCAAATGTTAAGCTCAACCAATCAAAAGCCTCTTGATCACAATACTACAACGCGTTCTAGGTATTGTAGTTGTAGGACGAAGATTTCACAGTTAAACTGCATTTTTACAAAACTAGATTGATCTCAAGCATGCTTTTTTCACCTATCTCTTGGCCTTGGGCAAGACACTTAATCCCACTTTGCCCAAAGCGCCTGCTGAAACACCAAGGCAGTGTCATTGCTAACGGACAAGCAGCCATCTTTCTGTGGACTCTGTGAGAGGCTGGTGCTATGAGCATTGGGTGGCAGCTCTGATTGTGACCCCCCTAATTTATTAATAAAGGGGTAAAAGAAATGAATGAATCAATGGGTTTTGTAAACCCAGTTATGAGCACCAACTAATGACCGATGAGGTGCCCTTTAGAACTCAAATTTGGCTTTGTCAGTTAGCGCCAGATTTGAGTTGGCTCCAATCAACTTCTTCAGCATAAGACGAAAAATGTGGGTGCACTCAGAATCAGAATCAGAATCAGAATAATTTTTATTGCCACGTAAGTAACAGGAAGTCACTGACTTGGAAATTGCTTTGGCTCAGTGCAACAGTCAGAGAGAGATAATAAAAAATAAAGAATAAAAAACACTTCTAAGGAATAAATTTAAATTTAAAATAGAGTTACAGTTACTATTTACAATATACAAGTGCACATGGTGCACACAATGTAAGGTTGTAGGCCTCAGCTGGCCTACTCCTTCAGTCTGTGATATACTATGTACAACACAATTTACTTTTAAGACAACACATTCATAACCAATGTTTGATTTTGCACACATTGTACCACTAGTTGGCACCAGCAGTGCATCAATCACACATGACCCCACAGTAAGGATTCTGTGGGGTCCCACTCTTTTTTGAGATTGAATAATGTACAATATTGTAATAAGTAATTGTAAATGAAGGATTTGCTAGGAAATTCTATGTAGTGGCATTTGATTATTAATGTTTGATGTAAATTGATCTCGAAATGAATAAATACTCAACTTAACTCAATTTATATTCCTGAGATATTCTAAACTGCCCTGAAAGAACATCTGACACCCATGACTTTCACCCTCTAAGCACCATCCTCAGTACCTCATCGCCCCAGAGGCACATCAACCATCCATCAGCTCGGCCCCTTTCCCCCAACACCTGATTTATTGTCAATTATCCAAAGCAGACACACATACTTCACAATTTGAGCGGCTCATCTGTTCACAGGTGTATACAAAGCAGTTAAAGGCTGTCTCCTGGGATTATTTAACAGCTAGGAAGAGCCCTGGTTCTTATTTCTCCTTACACCTGCGTTACTAAACACCCCATAGTTATACGACTGTTTTTGAAGGCATGAAATCCAGGAGGAAATTCAACCAAGATGCACAAAAAACTGAAGCCAACCCAGCTCCAGAGATTTGTCCCTTCGAATTGCAGCTGACATGTAAACTCAGGCCCCTTTTATCCATGCCCCTCAGTACCATTTAAGTATGTTCACAGGAGACATGATGTGGGGTTGGCAAAAGTATGACTGTACTCTACTGGATATTAGCGCATATCAGTTTTCTAATAAATGTATTGATTAGCATTGACTTAGCACCAATAGCAGATATACAAGTGACATATTGTTTAAAAGCTAATTTGTTTTCCTAATTCAACTTATGCTTAATATGCTACAGACTCATTACATGCATATAGTGTCATATGCCAACCCCTTGTTTGTTCTCATTTGATGATTATGGCTAACAGTCCATTTTCAAAATATACAAACTTTCTGAGACTTTTTATTTGTGTTTTTTACAAGCTGTGAACCAATGATCAACATTTTAACACAATAAGGCTTGATCTATCAGTATATATGTATAATGAGTCTATTGTCTATTTTTTATAGTCTATAATCGTTTATAAGTGTCACATGGTTTCACCTGTATTGCTAGTGACTATTGACTATTGATAATCACCTAAAGATTCCTGTCCAGTCTGAGTTGTATAGGAGCCATTTTGATTTATTGCTCCTTTGTGTTCCTTCACCTATTTGTAAATCCATGACGATTTTTCAGTTTTCCACAGAATGTTCCACGGCATAGCAACGCTCATTTTACTCCATTAGCCAAGAGGTTGATAAGATAAGATAAACTGGTGAATATAGGACTGTCACCAAACAGTGGCCCAGGATAAATACTCCATGCTGTGCCACTCTTGACACTCTGCGGCTGCTTGAGGCGAAAGCATAATAATCAAAGTACTTTTTGTTCAGAACTTTATAGTTGTCCGGGAAGTGTTCCAAAATGCACCAAAATAGAGGAAATATGGGCTGTTTTTCTTTCCTGTCGGGAGAACCCCACCCCAGTCCAAACCGTTTAACAACATGAACGATCTTCTGTATTATCAATTTATCATTCATGTTATGTTGTGACTGTTCAACCAAGACCTATATCCAGTGCACTTTAATACAAAAATAATCAAGTAGAGAAAATAGCGCATAACAGGGAGGTCCCCATATGTGCATTTTGTCGGGACCCCAGATTGTCGATTGCCACTGGTGTTTTTCAGTGGGCTGAGAAAATAAACAGGACATAATGAAAATTCCTATCTATTCTGTATATAAAACAAAACATAAAAACGTGCACTTTTCCATGTCAAGAAATAATCAAAATTAATTCAAGTCTATTATTCTAATGATTCACAGACTCAGCTTTAACATTGTGCAAGCAGTGTATTCATGTCTGAAATCTAAGCTCTCCATCTGTGCATATTGAAATTTTAAAACACAGTTGCCAAGACAATTATAACATTATTTCAGGGAACAATTTTGAATTTTGATTTAACTTATGGAAGTGCCCGTTAACGTTATGCATTATAGCGTTAAGACCATAGATCCTGACTGAAAAAGACAGACTGGTGAATTTACACAGAGCCTGAGGTGTTGGCCCATTGCTTCACATGAAAACAGCATGGAACTTGAACCCAGAATGTTCTTGGAGCCAAACTTCTGACAATGAAACTCAAATGAAACCCCAGAGGAGCCCCTTCCAACCTTAAGGCCCAACACAACATGAACCACAAAAGAAAAAACATGCTCTGTGCTTACCCAATCATCGTGAAAATATATGCTGTGACTTTTAACAAACAGTGGAAGAGAATTTCGGCCTAGCCACTTCTCCTTACTTTAACTTACTTAATCACACATTTTTGGGGAAAAATGTCAGACAAAAATATTTAAATGTGTCTCGTCTATGCTCTTTCTACATGGAGCACCTTTGGGGTTCATGACATCCCTCCATCTGTCCAGATTTTATTCATTCTTTAAAGTCCGAATGTTTATGTCCGAATTTCATGTCAAGTCAGCTTTAAATGGCCTAAAATATTTCAAAAAGCATTAATAAACCATGCTCTTTGTGAACACTTCTTTAACTGATAACAGTAGTTTCGCCGAGATATTTGTATTTCCAAATTAGTTTCATAGCCCCTAAAAATTTCATTTAGATGTCCCGCCCTCCACCACTTTACCAATCAGAAAGTTTGTGATCCGGGTATCCAGAACACACATCGAGCTAATCTCACTGGTAAAGTAACATGTGGCCGCAGAACTAAAAAAGGTCTCGTTGTGATTCTCAAATCATTAACGACAAAACAAGGAATAAAACCAGGATTTCTATCTTTGTGAAAAAATATGTTGGTTATAGATTTGTTATTGACATACTCTTTATTCAGTTATGGTCCCATGCAGCTGGATTTGTCTGCATATCTGGCAACCTGTGTCAGGGAGGGTGCAGTACCACTTTTGGCCAGATTTGTACATACTCCTGTACTGGCGACCCCGCTCCCATCTCTGTGTGGAGTGAGAGGACAAATGCCCAAAAAATAAACAATTGTAAACCGCTTTGTGACTCTGGTCTGTGAAAAAGCGATATATAAATAAACATTACTGCTCCTTCAAGTTATATTTTGGATTTCTGGTTTCATTTAATTACAGCCCAGTACACAGACAGGATTTGAGGAATGTACATTTAACAAGTGTAATAATAACAGATATTAAATTAGATCAAGAATTGGTCCCAAAACCCCACTTAGAGTCAAATGTATCTGTGTATCTAACTTCCTCTTTCACCAGAGACTTTTGGCTTGAGTCACGGCACATTGACTTATTCAGGATTACACTGACTATCCCCCAACAAAAACACATCTCCACAACAGAGGCCGGTTCTGAAAAGCCGCATTCATTTCACCCAATTTTCCCAACATGAAGAAAATTGTTGTAGAAAGCCATCTTTTTGTATCACAAAGTCTTAAACTTTTCTTTGCTAACCACTTTCCCCACACTGGGCCATTTTTGACTGTAAGTAGTGGTGATGTGTGGCCGGTTAATCTGAGTCCCTTGCCGTACAGACTGCTCAAAGAACAACATCTTGTATTGTCACAAAGCATCACGTCTCTGAGTCGGTCGGCTTTGATATGATCATAGTTTCAGTCACACATTTCTAATCCAGTTTCCTGTTTGACCTGTATTGGTCGCTGTGCGCTACATGTCATTTCCAAGTTACAAAGCGCTTTTCACTTGGATTCTAATTATCTGATCTGTCTGTGCACTTTGCAGGCAGAAATATAGTAGAAGCTGCTTGTTCCTGCCGGCTCAGTCCGTGGCATTACATCTATGTTATCATGAGCTTTTTAAGCATGCTCTCTGAAATCACTTAGGAGGCAGCTGCTTGTTATTACACTGGATTTTGTATGTGTGATCTTATCTCATTCAAGAATTT